TCACCATCTGATAATAGCATTTTAAGATGTGGAATATCTGCTAAATAATTTAAGAGGTCAGGCAGGCTTCAACCTTTTTTTGTTCAAATTGCGTATTACTCAGTTTATTAAATTTTTATGATTGTTTTATTTAAATCATACATTTATTGTGATAAGAAACAGTAGATCACACATTGAGTTTACGTAGTTAGTTTATTAGAAATGAATTTAGGGATGAGCCCGATAGCCTCAAAACAGCAACTATGCATGCACTAATAGACAGTTTTATGGAATCCCCTAATTTCTTTTAGACATCACTAATAATGAATGACATTTCAAATCGTTTTAGGAACCTTATCTTTCTAAATTCTTCTCACAAGCACAGTGCAAAATATTAGTCACTCTACAGTTACTGAATAAGATAATTCATAGGAATATTCTAAACTTAAGTCTTCATAAATTATGCGAGAAGTATTTAGTCCATTTCTAAATTTCGTTTGAGTAATATAGAGTCCAAAGCCAAATCAAGGTGAATTCCAAACCGGATGAGAAAGGATTTTGGGAGACCTTACTTCTAGAACCTCAGAGTTAGTAAGTTAGTTTGTTAGTCTATTGCATGAAACTCAGTTGTCAGACCATCAATTACTATAATCGACCTAAAGCAAACATAGTTCTCATAGAACATCTGCTAAACTCTTCGAAACCTTCTCAATTAGTCAACTAAGGAATAAAATTCTTTTGTCTAAAAGTCGTTAAAATTTTCTAGGAATTCCCTATTTCTATAATGTCTAAACATTTAATTATTTATTCTTTTTAATAATAATCTTTCAAATATATTATTAAAAAATAAAAATAATTAATATTAAAAGAGATATGGCTTTTTTTCGTAAGCCTTATCTTATCGCATCTCTATCAGTTTCAATATCTGCCAAAACTTTACTAAATCTCACCTTAATCATATAGCAATCTTTACTACACCTTCAACGTGATCATCCCCTGCATCATCCTGTCCTGCCTCACTCTAATCAGCTTTCTGCTTCCTCCTGACTCCGGTGAAAAAGTTACTCTTGGTCTTACAATTCTGCTTGCATATTCTGTATTCATGCTGCTAATAGCCGAGAATATGCCACCGACATCGGAATTCGCCCCACTTCTAGGTGAGCTACTTGGCTGCATATTTTGCTCAGATAATAGCTAAATTTCAAGTGGGTGGAATAAAGAATCTATCAGGAATCTCTGTCGTTTGGCTTCGAGGTGAAATACGTGAAGTAACGAGGAAAGGCAGGTTCAAATGTAATTAGTGCGGATGATATTGGAGGTAGCCGAAACTACTAAAAGTGCTTAATGTGAAAACTATTGTGTCATAGTACTTAATATTTAGTTTTATGCTAAGTATTTTCTTCAATACTATATCATCGAAGCCCTAGTGTTGCTATTACTTTCATTTGAAACGAAAGTATTTGTTGAAATATTCAAAGATCGATCCCGCCAGAAGACGGTTTTACTGGAACATTCTTGCTGACGCTGTGAAAACGATTCCAGTGAAGATATGCTAGGCTTTCTTACATAATGTGACGGACAGCATCAGAGTAGGATATAATTCTAAAATACGAAAACGAGAAAAACAATACTTTTAATCATATTCAAGCTAATGAGTCAAGAAGACTCACCACGAGCACTCACACTGTTACTGAGCCGTAGCGTGTTGCTTCTTGATACGCACGATCTGGTTTCGAACCTAGTTTGTTATACTCATAGACCCTCAAAGTTTCGAGCATGTGCATAATTTAGTAAAACAGAGATTAGCACACCTTTAGACAAACGAGCCTAAGTGAATGTCAATGATGGCAGATAAAATAGCCTGATGTGAAAATATATGAGATGTAATACCTCTCTTTCTTTTAAAGTGATGAAGGACTGGTTGTAGAATTTTCCTACAATGGTATGATTCAAGCTGACATTCCCATCAATTTCACATAGCCTTGCTTTCTCAAAAGTTGTTCTTATCCAGTCTGAAGTGAACAGCAGTTTCGATCCCGCATCGGCCTTATCAACACCCCCAGCGGGAGTCGAACCGTGACAACGCAGAATAGGAACTTGACACGCTAACCACTCGGCCACATTGCAACGAGTGTCTTTGCGTCAAAGGGCAAATGTGAATTTCGATGAAGGCCAGGCCTTTTCTATATCACATTATCTGGTGGAATTGCCGATGAAGAAAACGTATTTTTGCTATAAAAATCGACTACGTTACTTATTTTTCGAGACGACCAGTAAATCAGTAATATAAGATGTATTCACCCTATTTCGTCTAATTAATTGTTTTATCTACATGATATTGGAACGAAAAAATATATATATTAGCTTGGATGACAAACATTTTTTTTCAAGGAACCCCTTGTGGCATTCAGTGTAGGATCTAATAGAGTCTTCATTATGCTTTAATAGAGGCTTATTAATGGTTGAAATGAAGAAGCCTTTATTAGCGACTTTGGCCTAGGATTTCTTGATACTGTGTATTGTTACATTATTTATTCCCTGCTAAGGCTTCGCATGCCACTTATTAAATATAATACAAATTAGATTGCCTTGGTCTCCTGTCCTAGTTTCTTTTGTTGTATTTTGACGAAAGCATAGCACATACTATTCGTAAGGGTAGGAAAATAGGGTGTGGATTCTTAGCTTCCAACTTTATTCCTAACACAAAAGGTCTAAGATTTATGCAAATGATAGCCTAAAAAGACTTATAAATTTTAATAAAGATATATTTTAAATTCTTTAGCAGACTATAAAGTTTGACGATATAATACTGCTTCAGCAAAATTGGGGCGACCTCTTTCCATAGAGTGAAATGCGTAACTTGATGAGATCTAGAAGAGGCAAACGCCTTCATAATCAAGTTACGAATAGACTGTTAGATAAAGTCAAAATAGAAGAAGAATATTTCATAATTTCTCTGGTGCCTTAAATCGGAGCTAATTTACTTGGAAATATTCTTTTCAAAAAACAGGAAAAGTATTTTACTGTTTCCACCGACACCTACTTTCTGTCAAAATGAATTTACATCACTAATAGTAAGATAAAAAAACCAATGATTCAAGATATTTAGTAAATAAATTTGAGAAAGGAAAGCAAATAACAAGCAAAGAATCTTCACAGAATAAACTGCTGCGATATAATCAAAACTTTCTTTTCATTGGTGTAGTTTCGGCTGTTTTTTACAATAATGAGACTGCAAGTTTAAGTATTCAATCTCGCCTAATTGCTGTAATCGCTTTTAGGCAGTCAGCCTTCTTACTATTTATGAAGAGAAATATTTATAAATATAGTGTTTGGATACTGGATTAAATGAAATTCTAAATCGTTTGATGATATTCTTCCTCGCATTCCCGGCAGAATTATCTTATCATGCATCTCTATTTATCGGTTAATTTGTGAATTATCAAGTATGATTCGGCTCTTATGTACTTTTTCAAAATAATATAATTTGTTTGGCTATTATCCGATTCACATAGATCGAGCTACAGCTGAAAAAGTGTTTCATATAGTTTTTTTCAAAGTTAAAATTAACCTAAAAAAAAGCAATACACACTTA